TATTAATTCTGAACTATACAAATACATAGAATGCTTGACTAAGCATCATTGCAATTCAAAGAAGTGGGGACAACAAAATACTGTCCACACAGCATATTTTATATTTACATGTATTAACTAATTATTTTATTAATTCAATATTTATTATAATTATTAATCAAATTTGGGATGATATTCTATCAACTACAAAAATGTATTACGTAATAAAATAACACTGCTTGCGGCAAAAGGTGGCTTTATCAAAGGAACGCGCGGCACTTGTCAAAGAAAAGCCGTGTTGTTTCTAGACGAGAGACAGTACAGTCTAGTTTGACGCCGATACACGCCGTTCACGCCGATATAAATGTTGCGCCTGCAGGAATTGGAGTTATTCTGAATTGTAACTTGATAGCGATCCTACGTCGATACAAAGTTTATTATTAAATAGTGGAAAATGAGTGCAGTGAAGAAATCTAAAATGTATCATCTTAATAAAAATTAGGAGGAAGAATTTTTCTTTTCTATGGTGAAGGATAAGTGCATTTGTGTTATTTGTCGTGCGTCAGTTGCAATACCTAAGCGTGGTAACTTAGAGAGGCATCATAAAACGGTTCATAAAAACTACGAAAAGGATTTTCCGCCACAGAGTGAATTAAGAAAACGAAAAGTAAGTGATTTGATATCTTGTTTGAAAAAAGAACAATCCATGTTCACAAGACCAGCCAAACAATCAAAAGCTGCTACGATCGCGTCATTTAAAATATCTCATATTTTGGCGAAACACAAAAAACCATTTGAAGATGGATCGGTGATGAAGGAAGCATTTATTGTTCGACGAATCCATAGATATGACAGACACTGCCCAGCTGTGTATTTTTATTCGGATGGTATTCAATATTCAATGACATGTTGGCTAAGGAAGAATTTTTGACAATCATTCCTCTGAAGGGGAAGACCCGCGGCGAAGATATATATGACGTTTTCTTAAATTTTGTAAAAAACTACGAGCTACCAGTATATAAATAAATGTGCATTACAACCGATGGAGCACCAGCAATGACTGGAAACAAAAACGGTTTTGTGGCATTGTGTCGAGCTAATGAAGAATTCCCTTCATTTTTTTCATTCCATTGTATTATAATCAACAAGTTTTGTGTTCAACAGTTTTAAACATGGAGGAAATTATGGGCATTGCAACAAAAATTGTGCAACAAAAATTGTGAATTCCATCCGTGCACGTAGCTTGCAACGGCGGCTCTTTCAGTTGCAGTTGGAAGATAGGTCAGCTGTCAGAGTCAGCTGAATACACTGATTTAGTTCTTCACACGGACGTCAGGTGGTTGAGTCGCGAAAAATTCCTAGAAAGGTTTCAAGAATTATTACCCGAAACAACAGCTTTTCTAGACGAAAGAGGTGATGACACTCAAATTTTGAAAAAGGAAAAATGGCTAAAGGATTTGGCATTTTTGACTGACATCACAATGCACTTAAACACCGTTAACTTGGAGCTTCAAGGTAAAGGAAAAACTATTATTGAGATGATTAGCGCAATAAACGCATTCAAAAGTAAATTGCAACTTATGATAGATCAACTGAAAAGAAAGGATCTCTAACATTTTCCGTCTTTGAAAGCAAGGATTCCTCAGTTGAATTATGATACGTATGAGGCTGAATTATCAAATAGTTTGGGACAATTCGAAATGCGTTTTTATGATTGCAGTAAATTGGAAAATATAACATCATTTATGAGTTATCCTTTTTCATGTAAAAACATTGAGAAATTAGCTACTGAAATAGCAAGTCAGTTTAATATGAACTCATGTTCTGTTGAAAATGAGTTGGTGCAGATTATATCAGATATACATCTCAAAGCTACAGTATCTGATACAAATTTCTGGCGTTTTATATCTGAAGATAAATATCCGAATGTAAGGCAAATCGCCCTTCAACTGACGGCATTTTTTGGGTCAACTTACTTGTGCGAGTCTGCATTTTCTGAAATGAAGATAATTAAGTCAAAATATCGCAATCGACTAACTGACGCTCATATGACATCATGCTTGCGATTAGTACTCAATGGTTACGTACCATCTTATGAAAAGTATGCTGAGGACATGCAGTGCCACGCTTCAACATGCAAAGCCACTCCTTAGTTAAGTTTAACACCATATGTAACTCTTTTGTTTTGTAACAACAAATAAACTCGCAATTTTGAATAACTATGAGTTTTTCATTGATATTGTAGAGAAGAACCTAACTAAACCTAACCCAAACCTTGACTAAAATAATGTACCTATATTGTGCAGAAAGCTAATATCTATATATGCTACGGTACGCCCTACCTAGGTAGGTAGGGTGTATCGTGTATGTACGACAACCCTGCATCACACACACTTGCAGTCTCTCAGAGTCGATCGTAAGTAGTCTAAAAATATTGAGGTAGATCGCCAGCAGTTCAAGTTTGAGCACCCCTGGTTTCGAGTCTTATCAGAACAGCCAACAAGTAAGCACGTTAAATTTCTAATTATTCGTTTATCTGGTTTTGCAAAGGTTAAAAACGCGTTTTGTGAAAGTGTTTAATTTCAATGATAAACATTGGTAAGGTTCCTTTATTTCAAATAATATCGACAACTATTTAAATAGGTCAGTATTTTCTGGCCCCAATTAATTAATATTTTGGCATAAAACAAATTAATTTTCACATCATGGCATCATCTACGTCAACTCAACCTAGTTCTGTACCAGACCAACAAACTCTACAACCTAAAAGTTACTCTTCCGTAACCAGACAACCAACTACTAGTGTTTTTCCATCAAAAATTCTAGCAATCGTACTTGATGCAATAGACAACACTAAAATTGAAGATTAACTTCACAGTTTAAGATTAATAATTCGACCAATCAATATTATTTTCTGTTCAAAGCTACGCAACAAGAGAATATTCAGTTACTTAGCAAATGAAAAATTGGTCGATGATTTTATTACCGACCATGGAAAAATCATCATTAATCAACAACTCTTGCAAGCACGTCGACTAATCACCCCCAGCTAACGACTAGTACTTTCTAACGTATGCCCGTCTATTCCACACTTAATCTTAGAAACTGAACTGCAAGCACTTGATGTCAAACTTTTGTCACCCCTATCATTTCTACGGATAGGGACTTCAAGTCCTGAATTCCAGCATATATTAAGCTTCAAGCGGCAAACCTACATATCCCCTTTAACCAACTATACCTTACCCGATTCTTTTGTTATTACTTATGAGGAAACATCATATAGAATATACTTATCTTTGGATAACCAGACTTGCCAAATATGCAAAAATACCAAGCACCTAGCAAAAGACTGTCCAGCTAAGGTATCTGTATCAGGCGACACAACTTCTATACCTCACAATTTAGAAGTCGGTCAGAACCGTATTGAAAATAGTAACAATCAGGTGACTAAAGAAGTACCTAGTACCATCCAACAAAAGCAAACCCAACCGAACGAACAAACTGTGCAACATGAAATACCAAGTACTAAACTCCTAACTTATCAAACAGAAACAGATCCAGATCCAAACGGCATCCTGCAAATGCGTTTGTGCAATATCGTTGTATGCCATTCCTGATGGTTTTAAGTCGTTAGTTAGGCCGGAAAAACGAAAACAATTGATGATCGTTTTCATCCACATAGATTCCCATGCCTTTGATATCATACTAAGACATCGACCCACTTACTGGTACATTGTTTGCGCGTTGTTGTTTGAACCAATCGAGCAAAGCATTTTCAATGTCACTGTGATTTGATGACCGAACGCGTTTTCCTTTTTCACACTTATTAAATCGCATCATAATTTTCTCTCGCCGTTTCATCATTCTAGCAATTATTGGGCGTGACGTTTTAAATTCTCGGGCAATCAAACTCGCGGAGTCACCGGAATCGACTGGGCAAATTATTCCAAACTGTTCCTCAATAGTAAATTGTTTCCGTGACATGTTTTTTATGAAGGCTAGACACAAGTGAATTCAAATTCATAAACTCTTGGCTTGGGCCAAATGGCGTAATATAAACAAAATTTTGTAATACAATGGACCCGTCTTGGGAGGTCTAAATGTCTAAAGGACAAGTAATCAAGTGTAGATAGATGCCTGCCCGGATGTACTATAACCATAAATTAATAAATCCTTACTTCTTATTTCGTGGTACTAAATATCGGTAATACTTGTAAGAAATACAACACTACAATGTCCATTTTCATAACTTTACAGGAAAGCACTTTTAAACTTCTTTATTAAGATGAAACAATATTATATTGAATATTGTATCTACTGTCATTTACATCATGCGTTGCTTATAATTATTTATTATTTGTTTATTATACAGTGTGTAAAAATGTCATAATTGAAAAAAAATGGATATTGTATCATCTGCGGTACAGATAATGTACTTGAAATTGTACGCTGTAACCAATATTTTAACTGCTAGTGTTCCAAGAAATACGTTTGCTCTAACCAATTTGTTCATTATAAGCAATATAAATGCGTTTTTTGTATGTCATTTTACGGGACCTACTATTTTGTTTGTTATATCCGATTGTACGTTATAGCCGGTGTCGTTGTAAACGATTTTGACTGTATATGACAATTTTTAATCAGTTTTACTGTTTTAATTTAATTTTGTTAGTTTCATTTTTCACAGTTTCCCAAAATTATAGAAATAGGAGATTGCCGACTTTGATTTTACACCCCTCATATGAGATAAGTGGGTGTAAATATTTTTGACTTTTAAGAGATAATGTTAAGGTTAAGAAACACATGTTTATGTACTTATTAAAATTGTACTTATTATTAAATGTACTTATTAAAAATCTATTTTTGGGACACAAAGGGTTAAAGACTAAAAATTATTCTAATTAACAGATTAAGTTTTTCCGAGAAGCTTTCACGCAAATATATTTTTTCTATTGCTATTTTCGTTGGTTAGCCGACTGAACCGCAACACAGACACAAGTCTCAAACTCGAAATTCGAACTAGTCGTGTGCCGACTTTGTAACGGCGAGGACGGTTATTTTAAGCGAACCAACAAACCACGTCGTGAATTGGCGTAAATTTCAAACAATTGCCGCGAAAACACAACAAGTGAGAAATAGTTTTGAAGTTGTTTTTCCGAGGGAGATTAAATTTTGTTTGTTTTACAGTTTAACATTGACAGGTAAATTTTGATAAAAATTTTAATTTTGATTGATTAGAACCACAGTTCAAAGGTTTTATGTGTTTTTGTTGATAAATGTTTATAAATTAAGGGTTATTTTACATAAACTGATACTTCTCAATCGTGACCCCATTGTTAGTTTTGTAATTAAAACCAAATTTAGGAACTTATGTCTAAAATTTATAGGTTTTCTTGCTTGATAAAGGATTTATTATACTATTGTTTTTATTAGAGTATGTTAAATGTATTTAAGAGTTCCTAATTAAATCATATGTAAATTTTAACAAACAGCAAACACATTAATTTAGTAGATATGCATCAGTAATAGATTTTGCAAACGTGACTTACGACTAGACACGTAGCTTATTATAAATAAACTACAATAGATGTGAAGTAAATTAAAATAAAAATATACATACACTGCCTCTTTAGACTAAATATAATTTTTCTTCAAATACTGGCTTTGTTTCGAAGGTTAGCAATCATTTAGGCTATATAGGTCTACTTTCAAGACTGCTGCTTTAAACAAATGGTTATTGGTGGTGCTATCCACCATATCTTGTCCTTCTTATTATCCTTTTTTCACTTATGTTTCGTTGCATTATAAGTTGAAGTAATGGTTATTTTTTTCTGCTCATGATCTGTCTCAGGTACAAAATTCTCTATTTAATAGTTGGTATAAGTTCTTTCTCTTTTTTGTTCGTCTTAACACCTCGACATTTCCCTACGCCAATAAATTCGTAATATACTACGATACACCCAGAGCTCAAAAGCTTCTGTTTTCTTCATATTATTCTTCTTTAGTTATCATGATTCCATGCCAAAATATTTTGAATACAGTCATGTTGAATAGAATTGGCGAAATCATGCGACCCTGAAGAACTCCTCTCTACTATAATCTTCAGTTTTCTTCTCATCTTTCTGTTTCATGTATCTGTCACTTACTGCTTGTTGGTCATAGTCTTAGCAGTCTTAGATTAAAGAAACCCTTTCCTGGTTTCTTTAATCGAAGGTCATAGTAGTTATTTTAAATAGTCTTATCTTTTTGTTTGTAAGAATTTTATTCTTCTGTTCTTCAGTAAATTTAAAAATTTCACTATATTATTTTAGTTTTAGTATAAACATTTAAAAATTTACAGTGAAAATTAAATTTTATTCTTGTTTAAATTAGTTACTATAAGATTATTAGTACATTATTAGTACATAATTTTATAGTATTTTACTTACTTAGTCTAATTATTAGCAATTAGTGTCTTTTTATATGAAGACAATGACATACCAGAAAAAAGTTTCTCATTCGTTCTCATTTATGCCTCACTAAATAATGTACCAACCAGTGGCGCACCCAGGGGGGTTTTGGGGCCTAACCCCCCCCCCAGTGTGCTATTCCTACACTGTTATAGGCTCTTCCACGAATATACGACTGTTTTGGTTTACTGTGACAACGAATATTTTACTGTGCAAGTAGAAGTATGAAGGTCAATTATTGGTCTAATCATTATTCCAATAAATTAAACTAAAATTATTTCAGTTAAAATCTACAAATAAATACAATGACGTCTATGAAGCCAAATGTGTTCATCAGACATTTGGGTAAGCTTTCCGTGAAATGTAAACACCAAAGAGGCGTGCGGGTTTCTTTGATATAACACATTTTATTAGTTTATTAGGTATTACAACTGTAATAAAAAGAAATATACTATTTTTAATATAAATGAAAAGAAATTGGCAGAACGATGGTTCACAAACCAGAAAAAGGATCTAATATTTCACTTTGTTAGTTTTAAATATTTGTTTGCTTTGAGTTTATCTACTCTTAAAAGTTCCGAAAGTAACGGGTATAACATACCGGCTATTGATAGTTAAAGTATCGAGTCGTTACAGATATTAAAAAGTAACGAAAATTTATATACAGTTTCCTATATCGCCGACTGATTATGGCTGTGAATCTAATAGTTGATGATAGTTTCAGAAGATTAAGAGAATAAGTGAATAAGTAAGTTTTTTTGTTTTTTTAATATTAATTGAATATTCGACTAAAAAATTTACACTATTTGATCACTTAAGTATTGTTACTTTTCGTTTAAATCACATAATTCAAAAACCAACTTGTTTACAATGAAATAATTAAAATGAAAAAATAAACTCCATGATAGTAATTCTGAATTAAATCTGAATTACAACTGTTTTATAAACTATTAACTTTATATTTCATGACTTCATATTTAAATCTAAGGTTTATATCTGTCGTAACAGTATTTTAAAAATGGGGAGAATTTACTATTGTACAATTCAGTACATTGGACCAATTAAATCGACACCTTAAAGCGAATTTAAAACAATCGTATATTCGTGGAATGGAGTATACCAGAGAACTAACGAACAGTTCTCTGCTCTTACTCACAAATTTTAAGAACTCAAAATGGTGGAGGAGCATAAAAAAAATTCGGTGCCCAATCAAAATCTCCCCCCAGAGAAAAATTCTAGGTGCGCTAGTGGCACCAACTGCACATTTTTTACAGTATAAATAATGGTGTATAACCAGATATACTCGGTTCGCTAATCCCAGTCCAAACTGTCCAGTGAATTTAGTAATTTTTTTTTGCGAAGTTAGTTACTTTTTGACAGACTAGAAGTGGCTGGAAATTACTGTACAACCAAGCACACGTGCTCATAGCTCATTTTATTAATGTATTTCGTCCACCTTTTTTGCAAACTTATACTAATTTTCTATTATTCCTATTAGAAACTAGTTTTGAACGACCCAGGATTTTACCTTTTTTATCTAACGTACTGTTGATTGCCTACATTTGGCGCAACTTAACGATATAAACTAAATTAGCCTAACTTTTTTATAACATATATTTTTTTATATATAATAGAAACTTACTTTTTCATACATGCGATAAATTTTTAAACGAATTTAATTTTTGACGCTGTTATCATTTAAGTCAGTCGTTAATTTCCTTTTGTGACTTTTCTTCTTCAAAGCGAGGGTTTGATTAGGCCGAACTTTATATTTACGCACACTTTTTTCTGAGACTTTCAGACATTTGAATGTTAACCGAAATGTTTTTGTTATTAAGAACAACTGTAACATTTACATAATTCTTTATAATTCTCAAAAATTTTTTAAAATAATTTTAAAAAAATGGTAGGTATTTTGAATAAACGTTTGTGCAGTTTCATTGCCTAGTAATTTAACAGTATCGTTACTTATCTAAAAATATTAACTTTTAATGATTATTTTATCCTATAAATAGGATAAAATGTCGGTCAGATAGCTCAGCGGGCTGTGCGGCTGCCTCTCATTCGCTTCACTGTCGAATGGTTCAGTGGATGTGGGATCGAGCCCCAACTCAGTGTACAGAAAACTTAAAGTCTAACGCAGCAGTTTAAAATTCTAGATTAATCTGCGGCTTAGACTAGAATATGCTGGGATCTGATCGGCCTATGGTGGAGCAGTACGGCAAGAGATAAGGGCTTGCGGCTCGGTGATACTCCTCCATAGATCCCTCAGGGACGGGCGTAACGCCTAAAAAACCGGATATATATATATATATATATATATATATATATATATATATATATATATATATATATATATATATATATATATATATATATATATATATATATATATATGATAAAATAATCATTAAAAGTTAATATTAATTCTTTAATTTTTCTTTAATAATAATATCTTTAACAAATTTGTTAAAGAAAACTTACCAACGCATTAGATGATGGAACAAATTGAAAAAATTTGAATATCCATGATAATAAAATTCAAAATAGAACTAACTAATTACCTAAATAGAACTAAGAAAAAGAATTAAACAAAAATAATAAAAGAATTAAACTATATTAAATAAAATAAACAATGCGAATAATACACATATTATGTTAAATGGTAACAACTCAAATATATTTTAAATATACAGGCAGAATTTTATGAGTTTAGTATACACTTCCACTATTTAGAATAATTCTTCTTTTTTCAAACGAAGAAGTTGGCAATAATAGTATATTTGAGCTATTAATACTAAGAAATAGGAATTTTTGTGTTGTAGATTTCCGACTATGAATCTGTCAAAATAAGTTCGAGCTGAGCGAATGGACTTTATCGTGTATTCTGTTTTTATCGTATACTGTGGTAAAGTCCTTTATTGATTCACAATAATTGATCCTTTTCTGCCGGAATTAAGATATCCTTGTGAACAAACACCCTGGCTTTCTAAACGTTTAAATTTGAATACTGTAAAAAAGTGCTCTACAGTAACATGAGGACGTGGCCTTAAGCTGTTTTGTTTCCTAGGCAATAAGAAAACAAAAGATTCTTTAATGAAATAAATTGTATTTCCATTACTAATTGCGTTGTAATTATATTTTCGTTACATCAAATATATATATATAAAGTGCTACAGCAAACCTATAATAAAATTCAGGTTAACCTTGATCGTTGTATGTAAAATTTGACTTTGAATTATATACCTACTAAATTGTTCCTTGACATAAAATCTTATTCTTAAAACGATTTTAAACAATTCTTTAAGAACATTTAAATACGGCTAATCTTTATAGTTCAAAGTATTGTATATATTTTAAAAAACTATTAGTTAAAAGAACTTTGATGGTACACAAGGCAAATATCGAACACAGTATTTAATCAAATCTTGCCCAAGTACTTTCGATCACAAGATCATCTTCAGGGGCATCTGAAATAAGCCAAGAAACGTTTTTTAAAAAAGGAAAATTAATTCACTTGGATAAAAACTCCAAGTTTATAGTTGAAAAAAGTTTTTTTATGTGATTAACGTTTATAGACTTACTTCGTCAGTTGTGGCCTATCCAGCAGTAACAGAATGTCATAAATGTAAATTGGGACATAACAAATACACTAAACAAAGACAAACAAACACTTTAAAATTTAAAATTGGAGAAGCTACATTTTATATAGAAGCCGGAGACAGAATGGCTCCCAGCCTGGCGGAGGCGGA